ATTTGCGGTGTTGGCGCTTGGACATAGAGATGTTTGGAAAGTTTTTTGCGCCTACAGATGACACCAAACGAGCGTGCGAGCCGTATGCTCTTGCTCCGGCGAGAAGCCGCGTACGGCTCGCCAGGCTCGTATCGCCTGTCGCATACTGGCCGCCATATTGTTTTTAGGGTGTTAGCAGTTAACACGATTTTCACCACCTCCGGCGGCTAACACCCTTACACGAATAAAGGCGTTAGCCAGAGGACGAGCCATTTACACGAATAAGGGTGTAAAAATTTTAAGTGTGTAGGGGCTCTGTCTTATCGTAGTGCGCCAGGAGTGTCCTCTTCGGGACCAGTTTCTTGAGCTCTTCAAAAGCTCTCTGATGTTTTTCTTCCAATCGCCATAGAGTGTCTGTCTGTAGCAGCTCATATAGTACGAATGCTACTGTGGTTCTCTGTTCTAAAAAAACGGTCATAGAGGGACAACATCCCCAAAAATGACTGCAGAGTCTGCTTGCTAGTCGGAGCGGGTGCTTCCACTATCACTTCTACCTTTTCGTCTGTAGTGTGTATTCCTTTAGCATCAATCTTGTGGCCCAGAAATGGTACTACTGGTACACTGAAGCGGCACTTAGCCTTGTTGAGACGCAAGTTCTCCTGTGCCAGTCGCTGTAGCACGGCTGACAATCGTTCCTTGTGCTCTTGTTCCGTGGCACCACTGACAATGATGTCGTCGAGGTACACATACACACCGATTAGCCCACTAACGGTGGTCTCCATGAACCTTTCAAATATTGCTGGCGCTGCTGCCACACCGAAAGGAAGCGTCTTCACTTTGTACAGTACTTTTGCTGTGTTTACGGTGAGCTGCTCAATCGTAGCTGTAGTCACGTGAAGCTGTTGGTAGGCTTTCGCTATCGAGAATGCCGAATGTAGTTCCTCCCGCAGACTGCTCAACACCTCCTCTGTTGTTGGCAAAGGATAAGACGCCTTTTTCGTGGCCTCGTTCACGATGCTGCGATAGTCACCACTCCATCGTTCCTACTCACCAACGCCAACGGCGTGGCCCAGTCAGAATGCTGTGTAGGATTCAAAATGCCTTGCTGTTCCAGTCGGTCAATCTCCGTCTCGACGGCTAAACGGAGCGCAAAGGGGACGGGCCGCACTTTCAGAAACTTGAGACGCGCTTCATCTCTTAATTCCAGGTGTACTGGTGCTCTTAGATGACCACTAATGGTCTCGGAAAAGACTGGCTGAAATTTCTGTAAAAGCTTTATAATGTTGCCATCGTGTGTGTTTTGGTGAATGCAACTGACTTGAATGCCAAGTGGTCCAAACCAGTTGTGTCCAAGCAAGTTGCATCTAGCAACTTGGACCACAAGTAATGGAAGCTGGCAAGTGTTGCTTGAGTGGCTGACATCCACTGTTGCTGTTCTGAGGACTTCAATTTTCTGGCCTGCAGAGGTGCGCAGACGAATGTCATCTGGTTGTAAAACAGGTGGTTTTGTAGTGCATAAAGCTCGAAAAGTATCACTGCTGACAAGATACAAGCGGCACCTGAGTTAACCTTAAATGTCACTGGCTGATTCTGTACAGTGAGTGTCACAGTGATTTTCGGGGTAATGGACTCGCTAGATAATGAGTGAAGATCATGTAATGTTGACGCTTGTTGTTCAAGAGGTTGAGGTTCTCTTGATCTGCCCAAGTAGTTGTTGCGTTGCGGCCCTTTCTTTGTAGCTTTTAGAGCGCAGCTCTTAAAGGGGTCATGAAACGATTTTCCTACTTCTTCCTCCTTAGCTTTAATCCTCAACTCAAATGCGAATTGTGAAATCACGTGGTCGTGACATTCCTTCGGCACCGGTGCTATGACTCCTAGCTTTCACCGTGCTTTTTATGCACACCATAGAACTTGTCATTCCCCGGTGACGATAAGTTCCGTCAGGGCACTCATTGGCCATGAACGCGAATCCAAATATTCGTCGACGGATTGATTGTCGAAGAGCGCATACGTCCGAGTGACGCAGTTCTCGTGTCCAATGCGTGAGCTGGGCTCTGCTGACGTCAGTGTGGCGCCGGTGACGCGCTTTTGGAACCGCTGATGTATCATAGTGAAAAAGCGGAGAGCTTTCGAAGGCAAGGTGGTACAAAATAGTCCGCTATATTTTCGAATGTTCGTACCGAAAAGCTGGCTTTTGACTTTCTAGCCTCTTTCTTTTGGCCAACTAAACGATATGCGATTAGTAAAGCCCTAATCTAAAATCATTCATCCCAACCCAAAATTCGTTTCATTGCCCCTTTAAGGCCGGTTCACACATGCAGCGAAGCGCTAATGTAGCGCTTCTCACGTGTCGTCCGCTAGTTATTGTCTGCCATGAACAACAGTATTGACGGTGTGTTACAAAGCTGGTGAACGCTTCCGTCAGCACGCGCTTAGCGCGAGGTCAGCGCTACCCTTGTAGCGCTCCGCTACATGTGTGAACAGGCCTTTAGGCGCCCGTTTCCGTCTTGAGCGGCGTCGCCGTCACCGTCGGCGTAACCACGCGGTGCATTATGGGTAAATTTCCTTGCTAAATAGCGGAAAACTTTCCTCGCGATATCTAGCGGAAAAATTTCCCCGTTAAATCTAGCGGAAAAATTGTCCTGCTAAATCTGGCGGAAAAGTTTCCCCGCTAAATCTAGCGAAAAAATTTCCCCGCTAAATCTAGCGGAAATATTTTCCCGCTAAATTTAGGGGAAAATTTTAATTTTCCCTGCTAAATGTGGTGGAAAATTTCCCCGCTAAATGTAGCGGAAAAATTGTCCTACTAAATCTGGCGGAAAATTTTCCCCGCTAAATCTAGCGGAAAAATTTCCCCGCTAAATCTAGCGAAAAAATTTCCCCGCTAAATTTAGCGGAAAAATTTTCCCGCTACATTTAGCGGTAAATTTCCAAAATAGATTTAGCGGAAAAATTGTCCTGCTAAATCTGGCGAAAAACTTTGCCGCGAAATCTAGCGAAAAAATTTCCCCGTTAAATCTAGCGAAAAAATTGTCCTGCTAAATCTAGCGGAAAAATTTCCCCGCTAAATGTAGCGGAAAATTTCCCCGCTAGATTTAGCGGAAAATTTTCCCCGCTAAATGTAGTGGAAAAATTTCTATGGTGGTGTCACGTGACCAGGAAGGGGGAGTCACGTGACACCCCCAGGTCACGTGACCCCCACGTGATTTTTGTGAGGGGGTCACGTAACCTTGGGGTGACGTGACCCCATCAAGGTCACGTGACCTTTGTGGCCTTGGCTCCTCCTCCTCAAGAGCTGCGCTCTAATTCGGCATAACAGGGAGTTGTAAACGGCTTTCATTATTTTTCCTTTGAAATGCAGGCTTTCTCGATATGGCCTCGCTTCTGACAGTAGTGGCACGTTGCTGTCGCGAACTTGCATGAGTTGGGGCTGCGTGTTTCGTCACAGCGCCAACAGCGTTGTCCTTGCCCAACCTGCGTCTTGTGAGAACTCCTCAATCCTGCGCTGGTTGTGGCCTCGTTCACTTCCGAGTGGTCGGATTTCAACTTTTGTTGTTACTGAACAGCGCTCTCTGCACAAACCGCGAGATCATAGACCTTGGAAAAAGTCATAGGCCTTGGATCATAGGCCTTCTCCGCGAAGAGTCGCTGCTGGAGGTGCTCGTAGCGTAGACCACACACGAGCCGGTCGGTAACATCAGCTCCAATGTCAGCAATGTCGGGTTAGCAGTCCTAGCTGCAGTTCCTCTCTGCAGCGTCGTCGCTGCTCCAACGTTCGCTGTTCCAGTTGCAGGTGGCATCGTGGTTGCGATCGCCGATGGCAGCGTTCCAAAATTACAGTGCGTGGCTAACTTGCGCAGCGCTGCCACGTAGTCCTTAATCGATTCTCCTGCCAGCTGGTTGCGTCGCTGAAACATGGTCCGACTGTACACTTCAGACGGGCGAGGGACTTTATCCTTATGGTCGGCGGCCATTCAGTTCACGATCCTCCGCGAGGTTACGCTTCTCCAGGATACACCCTTTCATGACATGAGCATGTTATTATCTCTCCGCAGCAAATCTAATTGAGGTATCAACAGGGAGTTCCCGATAAACGAGGATCGCGTTTTTTGGCTCGGGTAAATAAACTAAGCGTCGCAGGCAGCTCAAATTTTGCGAGAATGTGACGCTAGCGGTTGGGATAGAACGTAAAAGTTTGTAAACATCACGTTTAGCTGGATAGGAAGATCAATCATAGAAACAAAATGTGTCTATGAGCTATGCCTAATATCGTTAAAACAAGAAATGAATGAGTGCCTGTAGTCTCGATTTCAGTGAAAAAAAAAGTTCGTTACGGCAATAAAGAAAACAAAGTTCTTTCTTGTTGAGTTTTTCTTTCCACTGAAATAGATGCTACATGTTGTCACAAGTGTCATTTCTTATTTTAACAATATTAAACTTAGGTAAACATCAGCTAAAAAAAATCGTTTCCTCAATTACCTTCTAATCAACGTAACGTCATCTTCTGAATTTTCGCGTCCTACCCCAACCACCTGCGTCACATTCTCACGGAGTTTGCGCATTCTGCGATGCTGAGTTGATTTACTCGGGTCAGAAAAGCACGCTTCTCGTGCCTCGGATACTCCCTTGTACAATAAGAAGGCCAAAAGACGAATGACGACACCGAAGAATGGATGACTAAGCAGGACGCGTGTACACATTAAGCCACACCTCGCATTTCTTAGGAGGAACGTTAGGTTAACATAGTAAAAAATAAAGACATTCGCAAAATATAAACGTGCGTATTTTATTTTGACACGGACGTTCTTCCACAGATTCATCTGGTAGCTTGGCTCTCGAATTCGGAACAGTGTTTGCATAATGGTTGAACCCGACACGTAGAGGACATGAGACAAATTTGTGTGATTCAATTGCCATATAATAAATGATCGAATAAATATAATTAATTAGTTAATTCGCGATTGTTGGGTCCAGTGCAGGGTCCGTTGGGCACTTGCCAATGGTGGTGGATATGCATATTATCAGTTTAGTTGGATCATGACCGTAAACTGTTGGCATCCCACACTTTGTCCTCCATTTAGGATGTTGAGCTTAATCTTCACATTGCCGTTCTGAAAGCAACGAGACGAAGTAAATGAAACCTCTGTTTTTGTTTTGTTTATCGGCTTCGATATAAACCTCTTCAATAAAAGAACGGATAGTATATTTTGGCACGAAAACGGTTAGAAAGAGGAGGACGATCGTCATGCCCTGTAAGGCTGTCCGTAATTATACCTATATATATATATATATATATATATATATATATATATATATATATGTGGTATTCATCTGGGTTATCAACTGGCGAACTTGTCAACAACGTCTAGGGTCCGTTTGTTTGTCTCAGGGTGAAGACATCCTTTGTTGCACTATATAGGCCAGCGCGTGACGTTGGTGCGTGACTTGTGCGGTAATTTAACGTCTAAGCATTACCCAAGACTACGATCTCGACCTAAGTCACACCGGTTTCCGCTCACTTCACAAGACATAAAACAACACGACTGGGCGGAAAAACGGCACCACCCAAACAAAAGCGCGTGTTTGTAGAAAGGCACTCTAACAACACGTAGAGGAAATCTGACGTCATCATAATGAGGTCGACCGCAGACAGATTGGACACGAGTGGTGCGTCAGCGTTGATCTGGCCCTCGTGTCCAATCAAATCGTCGAATGACGCTCGGCGTCTAGCTATTCTATGCGAAGCGCAAGTTCGTCTGCTGCTTGCACTAGGGTTTCGAGGATGTGAGAACTAGTGAGAACCATGAGCTCTTGAGCTCTACCCACAAAACTTGAGCTCTACCCACAAAATAGTGGGTAGAGCTGAAGGCATCTAGCATTGAGGTCTACCCACTATCCTTTCAATCAAAGCCAATCAGAGCTCGGCATCAGGGTGACGTCACCGCAACTCCTGCGCAAGCAGCAGACGACTTGTTCTCCGCTTAGGGTGATGTTTCGTGGATCCAGAGGAGGTTTTGAATCATGCCTCGATTGTTTTCGGTTGTGTTCACCCGGTTCGATTTTTATTCACACGTGAAATAGGGGGTTCTCATAGACTAAAAGGAAAAGCCCAGGGCATTTTTACGGCGGCCATGAAGTATTGGACACTGCTAAATTTAATCTGCACCAACCGCACTCCTCCCATACAAAATTCACGTAGGCGAAGCTCGGGCGACGAATCATGTCCTCCCAGTACTTTAACGCGATAGCGTTTAGGAGCGCGTGTCGCAAAAGCCTGAGTCGGTTTTGGCGTCGGAATTGGCGTCGGTGGGACGGGAAAATCCTGATTGGTCAATAGGGTCATGACGTCACAGCACATGACCTCGCGCGGGAATTTCAAACAACCCATAATGCTCACGTGAAACGTGACGTCACGCGTAGAATGAAAGTGAATAAAACGTGACATGCCATGCGAAATAAAGATCACCGCACGTCTCAAATGATTTCACTTCATAAAGTAATTAATTTGCCTTAACGAAAAATAAAAAAAAAACTGAAGAATCTCAGGCAGAGACAGGATTCGCACCCACGACCCTTCGGTTGCGAGCCCGACACGCTACCAACTAAACGAAAGTAACTGGATCGTGGGAAAGTAGCGCCAAGCTCCTCGTATGGTCGCCATTTTCGCCCTTGAAATGAACAATTCCTCCTTGACCTCTCCATTCTTGGGGAGCCGATCTAAATTCTCCGGTGACAGATAGCTTTATCGATACGTTTCTTGTATACCGAGATTTCGCTATTCGCACACCGGCGAAACAAGCGTACATCTTCGTGCCACCACCACATGCTGTGCCGGTGCTTAGATGCATTGAAAAATAATTCGTCTGTTTCAAAATGCGCTAGAGGAACAATATAATTGTAAGAGATCCGTGGAGATAGGCATGATTGATAAGTTGATTGCATACACAGTGCCAAAGACGCTTATATTGGCGACGAACGCAGTACGATGATGCTTTATGGTGATCTTGGTGCCACTGGATGAGAACGACCCTCTCGGAGCTGTGAAGATTGGAGGGAACCGAAATGGCGATTGCCATAGCAACAGAGACCGATTAGTTTATCGCACTGCGAGGTTTTGGTCGTCTTAATGTTAGTATTTGTTTGTGCTCGGCTAGCGGACTGGGAAGGAAATGGCGCTACCTTCCCATGATCCAGTGACATTAAACTAAACCACAGAAACACTAGATTGAATCTTTTTTTAGAGGATTACGCGGAGATGTTTGCACGACTTGGAGACGAGCGGCGGTTTATGTGCTTACGTATTGCGTTGCACTCTTAAAGGCGAAGTTTAAGCATCCTGTATTGCTATGTGCGTGGGTTAATCACATCCAGGCTAACCATAAACACTCCAAAACTATATTAATTGAATAAAAGCACGAGCCTCAAGCCTCAATCACGTCGTACATTATACAAAAGACACGATGTTCGCTGCGAGCATGATTGCAGAATGGACACGCCACAAGCATGTTCGAAGCATGTTTTGCTCCATACATGCTTCGAAGATGTCAGCAGATCGTTTCTGTGTGACCAATGTGACCGTTATACAAGGACGACTCACGCCTAAAGCCGGGGTCACACTGCTTATTCATTATACAAAAGACAGTCTGCATACAGATTCGAACGCGAGCCACAACGAGATACGTACTTCGAATGCCGCGTGGCCATGAGTTCAAGGATAAACTTGGCACGCGGCATTCAAACCACGGATATTGGGATGACTCGTGTTTGCAAGCTGTCTTTTGTATGATGTATGAGCAAGGTGGACCGAGATTTTAGCGCTGCATTCTTGCAGAGAAATCCTACAGTGTGCAAAGGCTGTAGACACTATGTTTCTTTTTAAATAAAATGACGCACTCGTAGCGAATGCCAGTGCCTGCAGCCTCATGATTCAGAACCTAGCTAGCTATACGTACCCCAAGAAGAAATTTGATATCTGTGGGTAGTGGAGCCATCAAGGATTCAGTGTAGGTGTTAGGAGTGATAGGGCAGGTGTTGTTCCAAAGGGATCCAAGACCTTGTTCGACATTGGACGTTCCACCGCATAGGTCATATGTGCTGAAACACGAAGATAATGGCGTTAGAAAGAGACGTGTACAACTAGAAATACCAAACCAATCCCAGGTAACACGCCAGAGGAACGCCTATTTTGGTGCGAGCCTTGCCAATCCTAACTTGGCCCTAATGCGGTTTTGTTCCAAGACGTTAGTTAGTGAGTGAGAGTGCTTTTCTTTTGTGTTCCTATGTCTCTGGCTCGTCACATAATTTCTAAAGTTTCAGACTTGAGCCAAAGACGCTGGGTATGAACCGATGACGGTGGTGAAATCTGGATCTGGCACTTGTTCGTCGATTTTTGGCCCAAAGATATTGGATGACAGCCAAACTACCGATAGTATCCAAGAAAATGGTGGCGTTGCTGAGCACAATGAGCTTGAACACGAAATTGAAAAAGATATATGATCGTGCTACACTAAAAAGGGACGTGGACAAGAAGAAATACACAACGTGTATATTACTGGCAAGATACTCAGACCCTGACCGATGAAGGTCAAGTATGTCTCTACCTTGGCTTCTTGAAACGTTTTAAGACTCTAAATTAAAAAAAAAAAGAAATCAAAATGTTGTCACGAAAACCTATGCCACCTCATTAAACGCGTTCTGAGCGTGCACAAGAGGTGCAACCGAGATTATTGTTTCAAGTCAACAGATTCTCAGGTGGTCGAAATTATATGTTAGTTATTCGCTGGGGCTTGTCAGATACATGCCGAGTTTGTAAATATAAAAAGCCAATATTTGCTTTTTTTTTAAGGACGAAATTTAACATGCTTTATTACGCTCGAAACATAGTCCGAGGATTGATTTGTAGCTAACTTTTTGGTAGCCTCATCAGAGCCACCTTTTTTAAAGTACTATATTGACGTACGGGTAGCGAATAAGAATGGCACGACTTTGCTACTAAATGTATCTCCACTTCAGATTCCCAAACAAAGCTGTTAACTGGTTGTGGCCATTACATTTGCAAGTTGTGGAAAGCATACTTCCGACGTATGTATGCATTGCGCGACACCGTTAGAGCGAACGCAACTTCAACTTTTTTTTTCAATTTACTTGAAAAGTCTATTGGCAGGAATCAAAATTTATAATTTATGCTGGCACCCTAACTCAGCACTATCAAAAATTGTATTAGTTTTGATGATAAACTTTGCCTCATCCTACGATGGACTCAAGGCCGAAGCCACGGGCCGCTATTCCCAATCACGTTCCACGCTATACTATGACCAGCTTAACATTGATTAGAGGTTAACGAATAATGCTCCGAATCAAAAAGCGCCGCATCATTCCTTTGGCTTCGACGCTGCAAAGAACCTGTATGTCGCGACTTTCTTTGCGTTGTAAAATTGGCGAGTCACTCAGTGCTGTTCGATTCAAACTGCTTTCCTCCCATCCCGTGAAAAGTGATCCGAGACACGGGCACCGATTCGTGCATCGGAGCGAAATACCACACAATTTCTAAGTGGTTCGTGATTGGGTTTGACGTTCCCGTAGCGTTTGTGTCTTCGATACTTAGAGTGCTTCAGTACTCAGAGAAAAACAAAGTAAACTGGCTTTGGGGCTTCTTCGGGCCAGCAGTGTCGCGGAGTTAACCTCGAATGTAAAACAGCGGTCATTATAAAACACCCGCCTCCCAAAAAGTAAGAAAAGTTATCTATAAAATACTGTTCAAATTTTCACACTCACCATGTACCGACATCATTAATGCATGGTATGGGCAGTCCGTAGTTGGTGGTCATGGTGACTTTGAGCTGAGGGCTGTTGTTCAAAGTGGTCATGATGTTTACCGTGAAGTTTAAAGTCATGGTCTGTCCCAGTCTCGCGTTTGTGATGGCAACATTGCTCAGCTTAACCTGTTGGGCAGCTGGGAAAAAAGAGGGTTGATTTTGGTGCATTGCGTTGAAGAAATATAAAAGAAAATCCCCCGCATTTTGGTTCACCAGTTTTACTACGCTTATTTCGGCTTATTTTTGCTTCGTCATCTTGAGTGCGCGGCATGAATCCTGATAAACTACTTTTGAAACTTTCCATTTCCGTTGGGTATTTTTCCACTTACATTGTGTGTGATATTCACTGCACCTGTTCTTTTTTTGCACACTATTTACGGAATGCCTTTACACACGCGACTGACGTCACACTTTTTTTTTTCATTATACCTGTTATTTATTTTATCTTCGCTTCGTATAAACTCGATTTAAAGCTTAAAACTATGCTTTTTATTAATTCGAAAGTACTTTCAAAGACAAAATACAGATTCCAGTGAAGTCGATTCGGTATTTTTGTGGCGTTAAAATTTCGTTTCAGAGCTTCACAGAACTCCATTGTGTTCAAATCAGTTTGTTGATTTTTGCTGTAAATATTAAATTCACATTTTGACCGTGTCTAAGAACGGTAGTTTAACTAAAACTAAATGCACTAAATAGTCTTTAGAGTAATGACTGCAGCTATATTTTTGCGTAGAATCAAGCTTTGCCACAGGTTTTGGCCGACGTACATATAAAGGATAATGCAAAAAGTGATATTTTTGAGACTGTTTCCTAAAGCAGCCCACGACGAAGGAACTCTGTACCGCGATCATCTCATAAGACCGTATATATAACGCTGAAAAATGTGCGCTTCAGAACAATAGCTGTCGCCAACACCGGGAATGCCATTGCAACAAGATTGCGTCACACTCACACACGAGCCTCTACCCCCCCCCCCCCCCCCCCCCCAACCACCTGCGCCCTTCATTCCCCAAACGTCATCACTGGATGAATAAATGGATGAATGCGGCTAAATTCTTTGAATCGGGCGGCAATCTGCGTCACATAGCCAGTGCTTTTGTTTTTTTATCCACGATTGGATCCACGCAGCGTCCACCTAGCTTGCGTCAGCGTCGCCGCCAGCACGTCTCGGGGCGTCCCACAACAAGCGCGACGCTAGCACGCGGCGACACAACGACGGTCGCGTCTACCGCTTTGCGTCGACTCTTCTTGAGGTTCAGCTTGTTTTCCACTTAGGGCGGGTCGGGGATCCACTAATGATGACGTCGTGCGCAGGCCTTGTGTTCTAGGTACTATTGCTTTGGAGCGTGGGTGCCACGCTTGCAGAAACTTAACCGAGAACTTTGTGCCCAAGACACACTTTAGTACTTCAGCATATGCGCGTTTTGTTGTAGCCCCTGACACGTCCGAAAACGTTGTTTGAGTCTGTCTAAGAGGCTTGAAATGTAAAATGCCAAAGGTGCAGCTTCTTTAGGCACTGAACCAAGTGTTCCGGAAATTACCGAATTAACGGAGGTCCCTTTACTTTTTTTTTTCTCCAGAGGGCATCTATGGTTCTACGTGTTCGCTAAGAAACACCGTTTTTCCTTTTGATCTTCCGTGTAGCCTTACCTATTTATTTTCGGAACGTCCCTAAACGTACTCTGTCGTGCAGGTTCGAGTCCAGTTCAGCCTAAATGATCATGTAAAGAAAGATACTTATATAATTGACCTCGCTTTCGCCTTCGCTTTTGCTTTCGCCTCAGACAGCTGGGCGGCCATGAGGAGAGACGTAAAACCTAATACTTAGTGAGACAAAGGCGAGCTGATGACACCTTTACCATGGGTGTACACCGAAATAAATGCTGTTCATTTGAGAAACAAAGCAGTCAATGAAGTTACTCCGAGATGGGGCTGTCTCGCGAAAATATAGTCGCCACCTGATTGGCCGCGAAGCAATAATGAAAGAGACTCATGACTCCCCGTTACGTTTTCCCTGAGTAGAGTGAGGAATTCTTACTGGAGCAGGACGTAAGCGTCGGTGTCTGAGTAGAAGCCACGCACAGTCCGGTCATGGTGGCGCCGATCATCAGGACGAGGAACATCATTGTGGTGCCAGTTGCGAGATTAATAACCAAACTGGAGACAGGGGATACTTCAGTGCCCGAATCCCGGAGTCATGGTTTCTTTTTGTACCTTTGAAGCGGAAGTGAGGCCTATAAACAAAAACTGTCACGTGTTAACCTTGACACGAGTTTGCGCAGTGTTGTGATGTTTTCGACTTGCAGGCGTCGCAGCTGCACCTCGTATACGTCGTATGCGTTTGGTACCTCGAAAAGCCTAGATTATTTTAACATGTGCGGAAACAATAATTTACACCCGGGGAAAAATAACACCCGGCAAGGGACCACGTGCCTGACAAGTTCCGCTTCGCTGTCGAAGTCAACCTACATTCGGAGTTATCAATTTTGTGCCACGGTGTCAAGGCAAGTGCAGCGTGCACACTGCAGCAGTCCCGCGCGGCTGCGGGAACACGTGGGTTTGCCCTTGCGCCTCATCCCTACTCACATTCTCGCGAGGGAGATGGTTTAGACCACTGCGGAAACAGACATGCGCAAGCTACTGAAAAAAAAACAAAAAAACAAACAACCAAACAAACCACGTAATTAAATACCGTTGCTTGTTACCCGCTGAAAAAGTAACAACTTACATTACTCGTTACTGAGATTTTAAAGGAACTTTGACTCAAAAGTAAGGAGTTACTTTCTCGTTGCTCTAGAGGAGTCGTTCACGAAGCAACAACCACCTTCTAATATTTTGTTTTAGTAATAATACCTACCTTTTCAACGTATCCACGGATTTTATTTTTATTTTCTTGTTGGTTTTATTTGCCAGACGCGCGCTGGGATAACAAGCAAGTAGGGTGTAGCTTGTGTTGTAGACGTTCTACTCCAGAAGTAATTAAATACCGTTACTCGTTGCTTCATCAAAAAGTAAATAAAATACGTTATACGTTTCTTTTCTTGAGAAGAAATGAAGTCGTTTCTTCGTTACCGAGAAATGTAACTGAATAGAAGTAACGCGTTACTTGTAATATGTTACGTACAAGTCTGGCTTTGTATTGCGTTTCATTTGCACTCGTTCTCCTGTGATGAACATGCGCTGGACCACTAGCGGAAGCTACGCAACGCAGCGGAAAATATTTGACGCTGGGTATAGAAAGGTTTCTCTTCACGAAGGAAACAAGTTACAAACTTGTTTCATCGCTTTGCTATAGGCTTAGGTGTTTTTTTTTTTAGTAACCCGAGAAACAAAAAGTGCTTACCTGAGTCCATGTTGATGACATTCCACCTTCCGGTTTCTGATTTTCCATTAATTAAGATAAGAACTCAAGCCTAAACACACAAGAGTGATAGAAAGATAGCGTCTTGGTGAAAGGAAATTATGGTGTCTTATTGGCCGCACCAGGTCCAGAGCGAGGTCTGCAGGTTTTATCTAAGTTTTTCTATTGGTGTTTTGTGACCAGTCTTCCAGAAAGTTATAAAGTAATGCTACACCCTGAAGGCAAAAGAAAGTCAAGGCTGTCGAACAGACGCCCATCCCTTGATCATTCGGAAACACAACAGAAAATATGATTAAATGGAAGAGAAAAGGTCTGGACTAACGCACATTTCCAGGCCTTAGTTTCGACCAAGGTATGTGTGCACTAAAATACCTAAGGCCTTCGTATGTCGATGTGTCAACTAGCATTACTAAATGAAAGAAAATGCGAGTCGCGTTAATATTATAGACCTGGATCTAGGACTGGTTTATTATTTACTTTAATTTGCTCGCAGTCAAGTCGAGACACATTATTTGCGGTTAGAGAATGTATACAATGAATTATTTTTTCTTATTTTTTCCAGTAATAGCCGCACTTCTTACGAACAAGGCCTGTGGGTCTGCCTTTCCGCGGAGCACGGGGATTGCGGCTATTACTCGAGCAAATACGATACTGTAAAGGAATCAGTCTTGCTTCGAAAAGGGAATCAAATATATGCAACAGAACAGGGGTAACAGGGTGTCACCAAGACCCAAATATTATTAGGCTGTATTATTTGTTATTATCAAATGGACGGGTGAACTGTTTTGTGTGATAACATGCGCGAGAGATTTGGTACGATCCCTATTATTGTACTAAAGTGGCAGACACTGAAACAATAATGGTATTTAACTCTGCCAGTTTACTATTGGAGTGCCACAGAAAGGAACGGGTTTCCAAAATAGTATTCCATCAATCTGAGGTATCGGGATTCCGAAAAAATCGTCGTACACTAAAAGCCGTAAAAAAAAAAAAAATACGTTCAGTGCGTAGGCGAGCTGGTGGAAATTTACCATGATGATTTTAACCCGAGACTGGGGCAGAAGGAGGAATCGTTTTCGAACGATTCCTTCTTGGGGGACTTGAAAGTGGCCTCACTTAGTTTGTTTTGTGATGTGGGTGAGGGTTGTGCGCGCGACCGTCCACGTCAAAATTTCCAACGAGACGAAATGTCCAACGGGTCGAAATGTCCACTATTGAACATTTCGTCTCGATGGACATTTCGTCTCGTTGGACATTTTGACCTGGTTGGATATTTTGTCTCGTTGGACATTTTGACTCGTGGGACAGTGTGACCCGACTCGAAATTTCGACTGGGTGGACGTTTTGACCCGATGGACATTTTGACCCGTTGAAAATCTTGAATTGTTGGCCCAGATTCTGACGCTGCAAGGTGCTAGGGGATGTCTTTAGATATTCCGAATACTTACACGCGCCCCGGGTTTTCGTTAAAACGGTAGTAATGTGACCACTTGAGGAAATCTGACTAACTTTTGTTTTGGAGAGAACAGGATATTTTATATTCACACCAAACAATCTAATATACGTTGCGGACGTTGAAAGTGTGCTAATATTTAACCGTAGTGGTTGAAAGAAAATGCCAAATTCCAGATTAGGACTCTATTTAAAAGGTTGTGGGTGAATTTTTAAAAATTTCAATAAACAAATGGGGCGCGTTCCCGGTAACGGACGCTATTCATCTTCATGTATTCGCGGGCACAGCTAGTTGGCGACCATTTCAGCACTGAAAATTTCAGAGCATTGCCTAAAATGAATCAAACTACGCTATGTTCTGAAAACTTCGGTTACTTGCTCCAGCTGCTGGAGTTTTATTCTGGCGGAGTTGGGGCTCACCACGATATGAAGCTTATTTTTACGATGCCTAAAACAGGGTTTCCTTCTTTAAGTCCTTGCAAATTAGGTGACACCCAAGGCAACATAATTAAAAGTTACGAATAGCGTCAGTAAACGCGATAATACATTTTGTAATTAGAATGAAGATTAGGACGATGATGGAAACAAACATAAAATAGCGCTAATTAAAAATTTGGATGCGCTAGTGGGTTCATAACCTAAACTAAGAAATGAAAAGCGCAAAAAGACACGAACGAAAAACGACAACAACAGCAAAAAACGGCCGTGTTCTACTCATTGCACGTGCATTCGTCATCACCTTGCTTTAGTCGTCCACCCGAATCTTTTTCCCGAACAGGGCAAGTACATGCAGTGTGTACGAAGAAACCCATCATGCTTCAGATTCGGCATCGCCTACTTTGTTCGCTTTCATCCTAGCTTCCCTCCTTCAATAAAGGGGACAGATGACATTGCCCTTGTCAGAGTTAAAGTCACTGCTAGCCTAGGCCTGGGTCAAAGGTCGGTGAATTCCGTGCCTCTATACTTCGTTTCAGCTTAGGTCCAAGCGCGGCCGATGTTATGAGCCGAAGGGCCAATCAAACAGCGTAAAAAGCGCAACGTCATGGCGTGCTCTCTACGCTTGATAGGACTAGCCGGCGGAGGAGCACGCACAGAGAGACGGCAAGTACCGGCTGGTCCTATCAACCGCAGAGAGCACGCCATGACGTTGCGCTTTTTACGCTGTTTGATTGGCCCTTCGGCTCATAACATCGGCCGCGCTCGGACCTAAGCTGAAACGAAGTATAGCAGTTTTTCGCGGGTTGCCATTCATATCCGACTCGATCATACTTGATATAAGCAACATTAGACAGGGTTGCAAGAACTTTCATAGTAAGTATTCTTAACGTAAGCATCACACCATACTGCATGTATAAACCATGGACCGGATTAAAAATGACTCGTGGTTCCATACAAGTATGTTTATTCCACGCATGCAAAAATAGTGTCGCCTTTTCAAACGCCGTTAGTCAGCTCAATGTGAGAGTGAGAGCGCACCATTGCTGGCACCTTTGTTGATGTAATAACGAACATCAAGAAACGTGGGATGAATGTTGCGAAGGCGTTCATTTCCTGGTGCAGTCTTTGTGCAGCCCTCGACGCTGCACAAAGATACCCCGTTTGTCGAATTGCCCCAGATGTTCTTGAGCAGGTTGTTGCAACATGTCCTGATACCTCGTTTGCCGAATTGCCCCAGATGTTCTTGAGCAGGTTGTTGCAACTTGTTCCTTGGGGTAGCGAGAGACTTGTTCTAAGCCGTTTTTATGTAGCAGTTTTGAATAAAGCAGGCCGTGCGCAAACCAGGTTGAATCTTCTGGTACGGAAAAACACCTTTTGTGTTAAAGAGGGTCACCGGCCGATCGGACCCACTGCCCCCAACAGTAGGGCCAAATTCTTGGAGCAAAATGCTGCATCTACTGACCTTGGCCGACGAAAGAGAAAACGAAAGAATTTAGCGCCTTTTGTGTTAAACCGAACCCCGAAGGCACCACAGCCGTGAGTGGGCAGTCATTAAACCAGGATTAATCACCATGAAATGGCCATTTTGACGTGGATGGACATTTCGTCTCTTTGGACATTTTGACCGTACTGGACATTTTGTCTTGATGGACATTTTGACTCGATGGGCATTTTATATCGATGGATGTTTTGACTCGATGGACATCTTGGGTGTAGGAACAAATGGTCTCGAAACTAACGGTCCCACACTAATGGTTCCGGAACAAATGGCCCCCGAAATAATGGTCCCAAGTCCAAGGTAGAAAAAAATGGTCCCGTAAGAAGATTGTTTGGAAACTAAGATCTAACATGTAATATATTTCATCCCTTATGCAGTCAGTGATTTGATGGTGGAATGAAGGATCTCGTCTATATTTTGAGGCCGGTTACTTGGAAGAAAGTGCTCGGGTATTAAATTTAACTTTATTCAAAATCGTCAGAATATTTTTGAAATGAATACTGTCCAACAGTTAATACTGCTAATTTAGTGACCTTATACGATATTATAGCAGTTATTACTATTTTCATAGAAAGGGCTTTAGAATATTTATGATATCTGTAGGCTCTTTTGAAACGAAAAATGAGTACCCCTTGTGGAGGAAGGGACCCTAGACGTGTCCTGTTTGGATGGCCGTTTATGGAACATTAACATTGCGGGTGCCTAAGCCCCGCGTGCTCCCCAATTGTCCGCGCGCTCTTCCTCGTCCTCTATTTTTCAACACCCCTAGTCATACTGTTGAAGTCATGAAACTCGAATTACTTCCATCTCGTCATGACGCATGGTGGTAGCACACATAACGAGCGGAGCTCGATGCCTTCATAGGTACATTAGGATTCCACGCACATTTGGTTTTCCTCCATGTCTCTCTAACCAGATCAGCAACTGCACTACTTAGGTTAAAATATATTTCACGACAAGATGTTTAGAAATTATACGATTTATTGATAAGACATATTGGACGTGCGCTACATCTTACACCTGCTGTTCAAAACCGAACAGTGCGCGACTGACACCTCGAAGGAATTCTTCCATCGTCTTTGCTCCCTACTCGTACTGCATCTGGACCCCCCCCCCCCCCCCCCCCCCAGAGCTGTTCTTGTTCAGAGGTGCTCCGACAGACTCGTGTGCCATTTTTCCGGAAACAGATGAAGCTTCCGCTCGTAGAGCGTCGATCGCCATCCAAACTGTTGGATGGCTATGCCCGACTATGCTGCTGATTATCCGGTTACATGCCTCGCAGTTGTTTCTGATCAGTATTTTTATATACACTCTAAAAAAAGCCCGTGCCTCTACTTTCCCGCACAACACTCGGAGAGCCAATCAGCGCAACCTACGGAGGCAGCTCAGCTAATGACGATGCCGAAACATTTGTTTAGACCAGAAAACGTAGTCTGAGTTGTGACATTAAGCAATGCAAAACGTCACGCTTGCATTGCTTAATGTCACAGCTCAGACTACGTTTTCTGGTCTAAACAAATGTTTCGGCATCGTCATTAGCTGAGCTGCCTCCGTAAGTTGCGCTGATTGGCTCTCCGAGTGTTGTGTGGGAAAGCAGACGCACGGGCTTTTTTTAGAGTGTAACATTTTTTTTTTTTTTTTTGTGAGCACCATATTTATATGAGCGAGCCCCGTTCGATTATTGTCGTAGAGAGGCTACCTAACGTTGTCTTTTATATGGGTTCAAAATATATTATTTTATGACGCTTGCAGCAAAAAAGTTGAAATTAAAAAGAATATCAGGGGAAAACATTTCCGAGCTTTCCAGAAAACTTTAAAAACCGGACGAGTTCCTGCGACCTGCAGTCTCGAAATTCGGAGTTTTTTGTAAAAATTAGAATCCGTAATATTTTTACCGGTGAATGTTATGGATTTTATCGGATTTATCCGTAAAGGCAGAACCTATATTGGCAATATTTATTTGGGAGGATTTTTTTCCCTAGTTTGTACTTGGGACAATTAGTTCTGGGACCATTTGTCCCGGAACCATTTATTCCGGGACCATTTGTTCCGTTACCCGGACATTTTGATTCAACAGGGCAATTCGTCTCGGTGGACGTTTTGACACAGGTGTCACGTGGTCTATTGGACATTTTGATGGACGTTTCGTCTCGTTGGACATGTTGACCGGAAACCGCTTTGGGTGGTTGTAGTTCAGTATATAAGGAGGTTGGTAAAATAAAATTAATAGCTGAGTTAGAGACGCTGTTTGTCCCTGTTATTTCCTCTTGCACTGTAAAACAAATTTGCTCCTTTTGGGCTAGACTCTCGTTGAAATCATATACGATTGACATACATCGAATTGACAGTTTCAGTCATTTTCAATTCAATCGGCTTCAACTGAAGCTCCAAAAATACTGCGCATGCCGAGCCTAAACTAAGGCCGGGGCGATGTTGAGAAGGAGCGTCTTAATCTCGAACCCGTAATTTTTTCAAAGAAGGCTGAAACCGAGCCTCGGCTTTTATTTTTCTCTATTGACGGAAGCTCGATGCCACGGAGGCGTTCAGAAGAAACTTGAAAGAGGCCAACATGACTGCGACTGCTTACGACCAAGTTCTTATGATTTCTCAAGACGAGAGGAGACACTGGCACGCTGGCTCCATCTATGAGGCGACTTTGGAACTGCATTTCACTAGAGCAAAGGTTTGGTGATATTCGCGAGATGAAATGCACGTACTGCCTATACGAAATGGTTGTTCATAAAATTGCGAAAGCTTTTTTTAAAAAAAAGACGCACAAAAAATTATGCGGAAATTCTAAGTGTTCCACGGCTACTCGATAGATGGCGCCAGTGTGCTATCTCGTCGAAAGGGACTTTAAGAGGTTTGAATGGACTCGGATTTAAGGTACACGTCGCATAAGTAAGACTTTGTGTAAGTCTGAATCTGGCGATGAGGCAAGAAGCCAGAGTTTTTAAGCATGAGCTTACGCTGAGGACGTTCGTCGAACCACGCGTCCTATTACAGTCATTCACAGCTTAAAAGAAATGCGTGGCGATTCCCAGTCATCTTTTTATCGTTCCTCAGCCAATAAAATTGCGGCATCAATCGGTCAAAAGGCCAAAGAACAAATCGCAAAGCGTACGAAGCAAATAACCCAACCCCTCGGTTTCCGAAGCAGTCATGTCATTATAGTGATATGACTAAAGGCAGGCCTTCTATAGTCGAAACACTTTTCAGCTCGACGGGGAAAACACGACATTGTCACAAACAAATGAATGCATACGAATTCGTCAACGTTTGTAATAAGGAAACAGGAAACACGTGATAATCTGTGTCCTTTTTAATTTCTGAAGCACGCAGGTTAGCTGCAGGTACCCTAAAACGTAGAGGGCAGGAATTTTTTTAGTACATCTTTAGGAAAGAATAATCGTATGAACGCGAAAGAAAAGACGCATTACTCACTAGCGCGTCCGCTTCTTCTGCAAAAACAAAACAAAAAACAACATTTGGACAAGATGTGTGAGTATCGAATCTACTCATGATCGGTTCTCGTTAGAAAAACGAACTAGAGCCATAGAATGTTTGTCCTCTTTGTTTTGTGCGTTTTAACGCCCCGTGTCATCTCAAGAAGAGTATTGAAGTCGATTCTTAGAAGATATAACAAATCTGACTAATTTGTGAATTTGTTGATTGATCTTTTTTTTTTATTCATGGAGTGAAAAAAGTGCATGAAAGTTCATTTATTTATTTATTTTGTCTCTTATTCGCCAGACGTCGTAGCGAGAACACTTCGACAGATCGGACTGTCGCCGACCAGCAGTCTTAAGTGGCGTTCACACCTCATACACTTTGATGTCAAACTCATTGCACTCTACAGAAATCCCGCCATTGATTATCTCCAGTTTGATGTGGAGAAGGCCATCCTGAAGAAAACAAAAAAAGAACAGTCAGATATAAATTTCACACAAAAGCGTATTTCCATAGAAAACACACAAATGAACAAGAACAAGAAAAATATAAAGAAAAACAAACAAACGAACAAAAACAATTAGGCAAACACTTTCGTGCGTTATTTTCTGATGCCTGCACTCCTCCCGGAACATCTGCTTTATTTCCATATTGCTTTGATGATATAACTTGAATAACCAATCACTTATTCATGAATCTTTAGCCGATTATGTTTTCCGCTATCCTCGCTGGCGGAACAGAGGTAACGCAACAAAATAAAACCCTTTCCCGGTTCAGATGTCATTTTGATAATATCAAAGTAGAAATACCTATTGCAATTACTCGAAACCAAAAATAAATGCCGAGGAATTACTTTTGGTATTTAGGTTATTATTTACAGTTCAATCTTTGTGGTTTCCGACATGACATCGATCAGCGCCGTGAAGCTGTCACGAGTTCTAAAGAAACAGCTTAAAGACCACTGCCAACTAAACTATGAGTCTCAACTACGGGTAAATGAAGACAAAAGGGAGTTTTCGCAGATCGCGTTTCCCCCTCCGCTAAGCTCTCCTCAACGAAGCAGCCGCTACTGCGCCGGCGCGCCGATGGCCTTGACTGTAGAGTTCCGGCTAGCATAGCTGGTTGCGGAAAGCATTGCGGGACAGCGGAAACGATCTACGAAAACTCCCTAAAGATAGAACGAAGGGAGAGAGAGACAAACGAAGAGAAACGAGAAAAAGAGAAAAAAAACTAGACTGTACCTTCTGCGTATATACACTCGTTTCCAAGCACCCGCGCTTCAAAGGCTATTAGGGAGTTTTCGCAGATCGTTTCTTCCGTCCCGCCATGCTCTCCGCAACCCGCTCCGATATCCGGAACTCTGCAGTCAAGGCCAGCGGCGCGCCGGCTCGCCGGCAGCGCTTTCGTTGCGGAGAGCGTAGCGGAGTGGGGAAAACGATCTACGAAAACTCCCTATTCTGGCGAACCCTGAGGAAAAACGTTTTTTTGAGGATGAAGAAGGGGAGACACAAGCCTTGTAACCACAGGTCCGTTCACACACTTGTGTTTGACTACGACCGACTGAGAGAAGACTGGTTTCAAAAGCTTTTTGTGAGTGCTTAGGACCGGCTGCGCTGCTGCAGAGCCGCCCATAAGCCGTCACGAAAGGCTTAAAAACCGGCCTTTAGCCTCTCCGGTCCTAAGAAGTTGGTAAGCGTGTAAACGGACCTTTAACGTTACTAGATCAAAGTCAGCCGACAAGCTTCCTAGAATATCTGGCGCATTTTCGTGTGGCATCCGTTCGGTGGTTTTCCTAACGCTATCAGTGCGCCCGTCCGCCCTATGGACAGAAACGGCGGAACCGGCGGAACGGTAGACGCATATTGTCTGCGGTGAAAAGTGATTTTATTGGGGAGTTTTCGTAGACCGCGTTTCCACCACCGCTCAGCCCTCCGCAACGAAACAGCCGCTACAGCGCCGGCGCGCCGATGGCCTTGACTGTAGAGTTCCGGCTAGCGTAGCTGGTTGCGGAGAGCTTTGCGGAACAACGGAAACGATCTACGAAAACTTTCTATTGTGGTTTTTATACTAATAATAGGGTTTGCGCAAAAGCCTGCGCAATAAGATCGCCATTCGAAAACTCTCTTACTCCGTTGCCGGGGAAGGCGTTGTCGCCAGTGGCGCTAAGAACACTATCCGTCCGCAGAGCCGTATATGTAGAGAGGTTGCCCATTCATTGGGAAGTATAGAAGACAAATGAGGAGGCGCCATTGGCCGAGAGCGGGCTGAGCGTGTTCCAGGGTGTCTCTATAAATTCGAATGTGGCCAACCAGAGGCCAGAAATATTACCCTGGCGGTGGTCGCGAGAAACTGACTAATTAAGTGCGTCGGAGTAACTCTCGGTGAATGAAAAATATGGCGCACGTGATGTTTCAATCACGGTCATCCAAAATCACGGTGGAAGAGTGCGACTAGCGGAACGATCGACATAATCCGTACGCCAGGCGCTGAGGGCCGTTAATCTGTCGCCCGAGCGGTCACAATCTGTCCGAGCAAAACAGAGTTGAGAGCCACATTCGTTTCTTACATCTTTTTGCATGATCATGATCGAAACATCACGTGCACCCTATTTTCAACCATGAAGAGTTACTACATTTAACCGTTACGCGCTTATTAAAACGATTAAAACTGTTTCTTGCTACCACCGCTAGGGGATTGTTTTCGGCTTCTGGTTGACCGAGAGAGCGTGTCAAATCCTCTTTCTGCGTCTGGTGTACGCCCTGGCTCTGACAGCGCCTCCCATTGACCAAACTTTCTGCATATACGGCTCTGTCCGCGCGTAGCGGCTCGCGTGCAGGTAACCAAAAATAATCGTTTTCGAACGCCGCTCTTGTGTGGAGCTTGCCAAAAGATAGTTCTAAGAACGTTGCGAGACTCATAGTCAAGTCTTGAATTGGATTGAATTGTAATCATATCCAAAAGTAGACTGTAAGATCATCTTATATTCAGGTCTTGAATTGGGTTGGAATCCAATACAAGATGTGGCTATGATACCATCTGCCAAAATCTAGAGTAGAAAGAATCCTTAAGATGAAGGAGTCATAGTTTGCTACTCTTAAACATAAGAACCGCAAAGGAGACTTCTCCTTAGAAAAAACGAAAAGAAAAATGAAAGCCGCTTACAAATCCCTGTAACGCCGAATTGGAGCGCAGCTCTTGAGGAGGAGTAGGGAAGGGTACTGAGGGGGGTCACGTCACCTGCGGGTAGTCACGTGACCTCGGGGGGGGGGGGGGGGGGGGGTCACGTGATCTCGGGGGGGGGGGGGGGCACGTGATCTCGGGGGGGTCACGTGACCCCCCCCCCGGTTACGCCGACGCCGCTCAGGCTGGAAACGGGCCCCTAAGAGCTGCGCTCTAAAACGTTTAAAAATCTCTTTAGAACGAAAGAGCGCAGCTCTTGAGAAGGAGGAGGGGAGGGTGCGGAGGGAAGAGTATGTCCTTCCCTCTCCTCCGTACCCTTCCCTCCTCCTCTCCTCCTCCCCTTCTCCTCCTCCTTCCTTCCTCCCCTCCTCTCCTCATCCCCTGCTCCTCTTCGCCTCCTTTCTCTCACCTCCTCTTCCTCCTCCCCTACTCCTCTCCTCTCTTTTTTCTCTCCTCCACCTCATCCTTTTCCGTACCCTACCGTCCTCCTTCTGCATACCCTCCCCTCCTCCTCCTCCTTCATGCTCTCCCCTCCTCTCACAGTTTCCCCGCTAAATTTAACTGAAAAATTGAGGCCATGTGACCTCTACACAAATTCAGTTTCCCCGCTAAATTTAGCGGGGAAATGACGTCACATGACTTCGTATCACGTCACCTACAACCAAATTCAATTTCTGCGCTAGATTTAGCGGAAAAACTGAGGCCACGTGAACTCAACACGTTTCATCTGGTGTTCCTCAAGGGTCCGTACTGGGTCCCCTACTTTTTTTTTTAATATTCATAAATGACCTTCCGGCCACCATTTTATCTAATATTCGCCTGTTTGCAGATGACTGTGTCGTATATAACAAAGTAACAAGTTTGCATGACAACATTCAACTTCAAGATGATTTAGTAAAAATTAATAAATGGTGCGAAGAGTGGCTGATGCCATTAAACAAATCTAAATGTAAACTAATCTGTTTCACTAGAAAAAAAAACTGTTTTGTCCTACCAATATTACTTGGGCTCCGATTTAATTGAGACCGTTCCTTCGTACAAATATCTTGGTGTAAAATTAACATCAGACCTTTCATGGAATAATCACATTGAAGTCATCTCCGCAGACACCTCCAGGACCCTGGGAGTACTCCGACGTAACCTTCGACCTGCTCCACCAACTGTCCGCAAACTGGCCTACGACACACTTATCCGACCTAAATTAGAATATGCTGCCTCCATCTGGAACCCCCATCAAGGCTACCTTATCAATCATCTGGAAGCAATTCAAAACAGGGCTACTCGTTTCATCCTCTCCACGTACGATAACTCCATCAGTGTCTCTTCCCTAAAAAGTCAACTCAACCTTTCTTCTTTGCAGCTTCGTAGGAACATCTCTCAGCTCTGCCTCCTGCACAAAATTTATTATGACTGTCTTGAACTTAAAACAGCATTATTATCACCTCCCGATCGAACATCATCTCGCCTCAACAATGACTGTACCATCAAAAGGATCTCTGGCTCAACAAACGCTTTCAACCGATCTTTTCTCCCACAAGCTATCAAAGACTGGAACAGCCTCCCATCCTCCATCGTCACCATCGTAGAACCAAACGCCTTTAAATCAAGTCTTCAATCGCACTTTTTATGTTGTTAACTGTTTACCAACCTTTTCCTGAATGTATTATTTTTTGTCTGTTTTTCCAATGTATAATATGAATGATCCCCCCCTTATGTAATGCCCTCACGGGCCCTTAAGGTTCAATAAATGAAATGAAATGAAACTCGATTCCCGCCAAATTTATTGTGGAAACCGAATTGCTGTTGAGGTCATGTGACGTCAGTTTTACCGCTAAATTTAGCGTGGAAACTAAATGCGCAGCGCTATATTGTGGGACGTCACAGACCTACACACCAATCCAGTTTCTTCGCTAAATTTAGCGGGGAATTGAGTTGGAACTTGGTGGATAGGTCTGTGACGTCCCATAATGTTCGTATTGTTTGTGTGGCGACGTCATTTTGTCTTTAAGAATTGGGCGAGGAAAAGGGAGGGGGGTGTGAGGGGGAGGGGGTTCACGCACGAACCCGAAGGAAAAATCCATCAATGTAACGCTGTTTGGCAGTCAATGTTTTCTAGTGGACCGCTGACTGTGCCTGACAGTACGTCAAGCATGTCTGATTGGCCAACAAGTTACTCTGACCGACAGTCAAACTCCGGTCAGACCCCGCTTGTCGGCTTTCTGATGGTTTCCTGGTGGCAGTCGGCCGCCGCGAAATGCCATCAGGATGTCCTGGTGGTGATTCTGACTGTACATTGATTGTCTCTGACTGTACGTCAGAAAGCTTTGACGTGCAGACAGACGTACGGTCAAAGGACGTAAAATTCGTTCGGATACCACTATTTCGTCAAATCTATGAATACGAAAAGTAATCTATGCACGAGAAAACGATCTCGGGACGTGAGCCCATAAAACCGCTGACATTAGAGATATGACACGCAACCGACCGACAACCTTGATCAGAAGCCCGCCGAAGCGCCGAACAGGACACTTCGCACTTCGCTTCCCCCATAGAGGCTTCGCCGAGCTTTCATGAACGATCGCTCTCGACTCGTTTTGTTTGCCCGCTTGCTCCAACCTGTCGATCCTGCCCGGGCTCTACAATATCTTATGTTTTAGTAGAATTTCTACTTGACAAGACCCAGCCTGTTGTGAGTTCCGACGATGTAAGGGACTTTAGCGGTGTAGTTGAAGACGACAATGTGTACCAGGTCTACTGGGCCGATGACGCGCGAACAAAAGGATCGTTCTACGACGCGAAAGTACTCTACATGGCAGGTGAGTGGAACTGAAGTACGGCGAGTGATGTACGAGTGCTTTGCATAACATGCTGACGACTTAACTGCATTTGCAGCCGAAGCATCTCGTATAAAACGAATAGTTAAATCGAGTTTTTGTAGCGGTTAAGGTGTCCGATTTGTACGCAAGCGGTCGCGGGTTCGATCCACGGTGGTGCTACATTTTTTTTTTTTTCTCGAACATTTTGTTTTGTCGAGGCATTTGGCGATATTTATGAGTGCGTATAGCTTTACTCTTATATAAATGCTGCCCTTGTTGATGAAATTCCCTTGGCAGTGGCAGTCAGACGTCATCTGATGGACCATCAGGTGACGTCTGATGGTCCATCACGTTCCACCAAGGCTGCTGACTGGCAGTCAGTGTCCCAAATTACGTAGCTTGAGGAAATTTTCAATAGGGAAGTAATCTCGGAGTGGGGATTCCGTGTTTTCTGGGATTATTTACGTCGAATTCGGGGCTTATCTTTTCCTACAAATTTGGTATTTTTGGTGACAATTGTTGGTGTATGGCAAAACAATGAGCTATGTAGATGAAGACAAGATCTTTTTTAAGCTCCAGGGTGCATGCAGGGGACGGGACCATAAGGCAGGATGACCTCGCTGTACACGATAGATTTAGCCGGTGAGTCGTTGCGCTGGCGGCGGACGGACTTGGTGTGAAACGGAGTACAGAAAAATATTTATTTTCAGGAATCTCGGGTCTTTGCTTATTTAACGATGGCTCCAGTTCAGGATTTTCCGGCTTCCCCGAGTTCGATAAAGCCAACTCGAGGGCGAGTTTCCGGGGTTGATCGGAAAGCACAAAAAAAAAACAACACGGAAACCTACTTGTATTGCAACGGGTGAACCTTCAACATTGCGAAGATTTGAGAATTACGAGGCAGTCAAGTGCACTGAACGCAACTTTCGCGTGTTTCGAGCCTCCTTGTGTGCAACCGCGGGATACAAAGTATTTTTCTTTTTCGCACGATTAGGAACTTACCCCTATAATGAGAATAGCCCCGTAAGGTATGTGGATGGAAGCGCTGCTGTCGTAGCTCCCTGCTGGGATTGGACACGTGCCATTCCAGGGTTTGCTTATCTCCTTTTCCACATCAGACGTGCCGCCGCAGAGCTGGTACTCGCTGCATGAAGGCGGCCCAACAAGTTTAGTTGGACGAGCGAGGCAATGGTACAAATACTGGCTGTCTATATAGACCAACAAGCTGTTTACAAACAAGCCGGCATTTGACCACTCATGGTGTGGGCAAATGTTGAACACAACAGAAACCACATTCGAGTGAAGTAAAGCGTCCGCACTGGCTTGACGTTGGAGCCGCGTGTTGGTGTACAGGCGATTCCAACGCTTCTCAACCAGTGGGTAGATCTCAAAGCAAGCTGCCTTGTGGTCTACCTACTCTCCTTCAATCAGAGCCAGTCAGAGCTCGGCGTAGTTCTGACGTCACCACAACCCCTGCAAAAGAAGCAGACGAACTTGCGCTCCGCGTTCCAACGCTTCTCAACCAGGCAGAACAAATGCTGATTCACTGGGTTGCGGACGCATGCGCAGTGTACGCTATTTCGCGGGAAAGAGCTACTGCGCATGCTCAGAAACTGTTCTACAGCCCGGTCAACAAAAGATGGCAGCCTGCAGACGCCGATCACTAAATAGGTTTGCACAGCGCGAAGCAATGGGATCGATAGCTGTTTGAAGGTACCGCACAAATCGGTTCATGAATGTACTGAGCTAAGATTTTGTACAAGGTGGCCGAAGAACGTGCGTTAAGCATGTAAAATTTCAGTACAAGTGAAGAACTTGAAATCCCTACCTACGGTTGTTGCTCATATTGGGGTGAAGAGAAAGGGGGGAGCCAGTAGAGGTAAAACCTAAATACGGCGGCCATTGGCTAACGAAAGGCACCTGATTGGCGCCGCAGCCGACAGATGGCGTCACGTAATCGCAGGCAAAACGCCAAACCAGGGAGTACAAGGAGACATGGGATGGGCGTCATTTGAGAGCAGGGAAGCGGTGAGCAAGATAGAATTTGAGGATAGGTTGAGGCAAATGGATGGGGAGCAATGGGCACGAAAGGTTTTCAGCTATTTATACATGAGGACTGTAGACACAAAGTGGAGACAACGCACTAGGAAATTAAGAGGAAAGTTTTTGGGCTACAGCGAAGATACGGAAGAGCAAGTCTCAGTTAAGAAGAAAGTTAAGGCCACAGAAAGAGATCGGTGGCTAGAGGGAATGCAGACAAAGACGGCTCTGGAAAGCTATAGATTAAACAAAAGAGTTATTGCCAAAGAAAGCACTTATGACAATTCTAGGGGAAGCTCAATGCTGTTTGAGGCGAGGACGGGTGTTCTGCGAACCAGAACATACAGAGTGAAGTACCAGGAAATTGATACAGTGTGCACTGCTTGTGGAGAGGAGGACGAGACGGCTGAGCACTTGATACTCTACTGTAAAGGGCTTCACCCTATGCCTACCGAAGACAACATAGATTTAATAAAGTCATTGGGTTTTAGAGACAGCGAAGGGAGAGTGGATTTCAAGACTGTAGAGATTACCAAGCAAAGATTAAGTGAATGGTGGCAGAAATCGAAAGAAAACTAGGTATTTTCTTATTCACTGATGGCAAGGGGGTTTCATAGCCTCACTTTCTTTGCACTGCGGAGTGAATATAGATTTCACATTTAAATATTCTAAGCCTAAATGGTAAAACAAAATGGCTAGGTGGCGTAAGCTACCGCCCGATCCAAAGGGCTCAGCCGTATTCATCCATCCATCCATCCATCCATCCTAGGGTGCCTACATGTATGTGTGTCTCAAGGTGAAGATGTCATCTGTTGCACCGAGTGGGCCATCGCTTGACGAGGTGGCGAACTCAGTAGCACAGATTTAGCCAATCATTAGCCAATGGCTGGAAACGATCATTTGGCCAGTGACCAGACACTGGCCATTCATCGGCCAATGCTTGGCCGGTGGCTGATGGCCAGCGGCCATTGGCAAATGGCCAGAGGAAGGCTAATAATCAGCCAATGGCTGGCCACTGTCTGGCCACTGGCCAAAGGACCATTTCCACCCATTGGCCAATGAATGGCCAAATCTGTGTTGCTTGGGTAACTTGTGCGGTAAAATGGCGTCTAAGCATTATCCACGGTTACGCGCTCGAGCTGATTCACACCAGATTGCGCGCACTTCAATAGATATCGAAAATACGATTGAGCCGCAAGATGGCTGAGATGTCTCAAGCAAAAGCGCGTGTTTGTACGAAGGCACTTTATCGCAGGCTACCACGACGGACGCTTCCCTCAACGTTTCTGAGCCAGAAGCGATGCGCTTTTACTGCACGAATTGTCACTGCATGGTTTTTATATTCTACCAACAAAACACAAAATGAATTAATATAAAACAAGAACAGCAAAAACAGAGGCTCTGTAATCTACATGGCGGGACGAAGAGACCGGACAGTGCCACCTGCTGAGATGGGTCAGCGCCGTGCCGCTGGACAATAGCATCTAGCGGCGATGGCCAGGTCTCTAGATCTTGCCGCATAGAATAGTGCCCCGAATATGTTGTCTCGTTTTTTTCTTTTCTTCCAGAATTATTTCCGTCAAAATGTCGTCGTCTGCTTTGCTCTCTCTGATTGTTACCGCCTCTCTCTTCTTGTTTGCAACTTTCACCCATGCTGTTTTGGATTGTAGGTCATCCTCATGGTTTGCTTAGCGCCCAACGAGCGAGTGGAGGTTGTCCTCTGGTACAGGAAATGCCAGAGGACCAAAGAGGCCGGGCGGAGTTTCGGCGGCGACCTCCGGGCTTTCCTGCAATTCTACGCTGGGCAAGGCGCGCCTCAACGAGGAGGAAAACCAACAAAACAACCCACCGACAACAGTGCTGTCGTCACCAAAGCCAACGCCTAAAAATGAGGTACTCAATGCCTTTACGCCGACCTCCACCTTTCTACGGAAGCAATGCCGACATTTATCACGGTTCTCTCGTCAATTAGACGCCGTTTGTTAGCACGGCCGCCGTAGGTAGGGTTTTTTAAGTTTTAAAGCGCAGATCTTAGGCGCCAGTTTCCAGCTTCAGCGGCGACGCCGTCGCCGTCGCCATCGGCGTAACCGGGCGTTGCATTATGGGAAGTTCCCATAATGACGTCACACGTGACGTCTCTTGTGACGTCACGAGGGTCACGAGTGACGCCACGATTGATGATGAGAAGGAGAGAGAAGAGTGCGGGAAGGAGGTGATAAGGAGGAGGAAGGGAGGAGGAGGGGAGTAAGAGGAGCGAAGGATGAGGGAGGGATCAGGAGGAGGAGAAGGAAAGATGCCAGCTACCCGTTGTGGAGGCAAGTGCTATCATCATTCATAAATCACAGGGAGGCACGTATGCAAACGTGGTGTACTCATTAGCCAAGTGCCAATCTACATGGGTATACGGGTCTGTGCTGTACCTATCAATCTCTGTGGTAAGTCAGACGAAGTTGGTAAATTGTGTGCCGCCAATGTCGACAACGGCTTGCTCGTGGTAACTCCTTATCTCTCGCCTACAGCACTCACCGAATATTTCGTGCAATACAAAGAAGAACTTTATAGCAGTCCTCTAGAAAACATCCCATTGGCCCCGAGGGACGTGCACTCGCTGTTCTGCTGTGCGATCTCGAGGGAGCACGCTCAAGACAAATGCTGAGGATATCAAAAGCGCCGAGCAGTCTTCGACAGTGCCGAGAGCAAGTAGGATGACATCGAGAGAATCACGGGCTTCGTCAAAGTGTTGACTATGGCGCTGTCTCGTTCTCCCGCCTCGTTCCTGCTGTCCTTCTTCCCCCCATCCCTTCCCCGGAGACTTGGGAAGGTGCGTTGCTCAGCTCACACCAGGACGACCAACGGCGTCTAGTTGAGCGGGCCAAGGCAGCAGAGGCCAGCACTGGAGCCCTGGACAACGGTGCCACTCGGATATTCCGATTTTTGAATAAAAGTTTACATCATCATCATCATCCTGCTGTCCTGTTTCCTTCCACGGGCAGAACTTAGAGTGGAGCTTCCAGATGGAGAACTATATTTCCTTTCTCCGGAAAAGCGGTGAGCGAGAATACCACAATATATATGCTATATATATCTTTCTCAGATTGTTTAGCACGGTATATCGCAAAATCGATATACCTTAAGAGAGGAGGAGGAGGAGGAGGGAAGGAGGAGAGGGTACCAAGGAGGAGGAGGGGCATAACCTTCTCTCCGTACCCTTCCCTCTTGTTCCCCTGCCATTTAGCGATAAATTTTCGGTAAATTTCCCGCTCCCCCCTCAAGAGCTCCACTCTAATTCAGCATTACAGGGAATTGTAAACGCCTTTTATTTCTTTTTCTAATTCTTAATATCTTACGTAGGTAAGTTTGTTCAGTGAAATGTCTATAACCTCGATGCACGTTCATCGGCCCCCTCTGTGCAGAAGTTTGCTTGATACGTTCAGTAACCCATTTACGCGGTCCTTTCAAAGAGCAAAGAGCTGTAGACTATTCCAACACTCACCTTCTAAGCGCTGCCACTGGGCCGTGGAGAGCGTTCTGAGCATGCGCACTAACTATATTTTTGCAAAATATCAGACGTCACGCATGCGCCCACAGTCCAGTGATTCAGCATTTTCTGCCAGAGTGAGAAGCGCTCAAAAATTGTAATAATTTGCTTGTATAAGATTCCGCCTAATATTTATTAGAGCTGTTAAGCGAAAAAAGAAGAAAACCATGGACAACCACCAAAACCGGAACTTTTAATGCCTGCTGGGAAACGGATAAGACATTCCGATCGAAAGCGGCGATCGAAACGTCACTTCCTTCTCTCTCTCTCTCTCTCAGCAGTTTTCGGCGCAGGTTCCGGGGTGGACATATGATTGCGATCGGTTTGTTGTGAGTTTAATTAACTCGAGTTGCATGATATTATTTGCATGATAGCTGTAGTCACCGACAGTTTCAGAAACGCAGAGCTAATTATGTTCACGTTTCTTTAAATCGTTCTTGGGCGTTGTTCTACCCGGACCGTGAACTGTGCCACAGATGTACACCTTGTCCTGATTCTTGCGATTCTACTCATTATAACAGACTGCCTTTTACCATACGTGTTTAATCCTTTCTAACTGGCTTTACAAATCCTATTACCCGTTCGGCTGAGCCTAAACAAGAACAGAGCCCGCTTGGACACAAGCGCAATTCTTAATCTGGAATGTCGGTACCGAAGGACGCTACTGTCTCACACCGACCAAGGCTCGCGCATTTGTAATGTCTGTTGTGCATCATTGCCGAGGCATTAGATCTTCATGAGCAAACACAATAAACAAATGAACGAAGAAATGAATCAATGAATAACTGTTCGGAAGGCAGCAACGATGGATTGCCTAATGTGCTGGATGTATCTCACCATGATCCCAGGTCGTTAATGCAGGGGATTTGGCCACCCCCGTTTATCTCCGTCATGGTCATCTTAAGTGACGGGGAATCGTTGAGGCTTTGCGTTAGTTGACCCTTGTAGCTGAAGGTCATCGTTGTACCGACCTTGGCGTTTGTGATGGTGACGTCATCGATGACCACAACATGTGTAGCTGCAACATAACCAAGTATAAGGCGCTTGGGAATATACAGAAAGAACAAAACACATGAAGGACGAACACAGACGCACACAGTTCTTTCAATGAGCAACGAACATTTATGAAATGCCCATGATACTACGACCATCAAAAAATTGAAAGAAAGAGAGCAAAAATTAAACGTAAATGCTGAAATTTAAAATAATAAAAAATAAAACTAAATTGCTCGAAAATTTTTTTCTTTTTTAAATACCAAATTAAAACGATAGGAAATTAATGGAAATTAACCCCTGAATAAAGGAGAAAAGGAAGAACAAAACGGAAATTGACCCCTGAATGGATGGGGAAAGGAAGAAGAAAAGAAAGGAAATTAGCCCCTGAAAACGAGGAAAGGTAAGAAGAAACGAAAAGAAAGGTTAATAAATGATCAAAACTTGCTTTTCGATAACTCTGGCGCGAGGAACTCCAACTCTTTTGACGATAACACCAGAGAAGGCTCAGAAATATTGTTCGTGGCGTATTTGATCTTAAACGCCTCAATGATTTCTCGCCCACACTTATCTCTGTGTGTTTCAAGCACAGTAGTGCTTTCAAAGTATGGGGTGCATTCGTGACAGGTACGGGCATGCACGACTTTGGGGTGAAATGAGTCCGATGATGCCTCGGTGACTTCTAAATACCATTTAGAAGTCACCAAGGCATCATCGCGCTATGCTTCACATCGAGACCTTGCGCAGCCGACGATGAGGTCGACCGAGCATGCAGCGACAAAAGTGCAATGTCACGGTGATCGCCGTCTTTGAGTGTTTATGATCCCGGTTAAACCAATCACATACACCGAATGCCCCACGATCCTTGCGCCTTATTCTGTATCCGTGATTGGTTCAGCCAACTGAAGTCAGGCCACTGCGGTGGCGCTGCTGTCGGTACTGCGCATGCGCATACGCTTCACCTCACGCGAATCTGGTTTCTGCGCACGCGCACAAAGTGGGCTATTGTCTGGAAACACTACGTCGGTGTATAGTATCGCGCAAAAATCTTTGGGCTCTACACGCTTCTATGCGGAGAGCAAGTCGTCTGCTTATCGCGCAGGAGTTGCCGTGACGTCAGAAGGACGCCGAGCTCTGATTCACTTTAAGTGGAAGGATAGTGAGTAGGCCTCAATGCTAGATGCCTTGAAGTCTAGCCACTATATTTTCAAACGGCCATTAAGAGCTCGGCGTTCTAACATCATTACAACCCCTGTGGAAGAAGCAGACGAACTTGTGTTCCGCATACAGTGACGAAAAGGAGGAAAGGGGATTGTTCGGCTCAATACTTGCATGAACAAGAGGTAATATTTGGCGTCTCCGTCAAGGCGCTGCCCGTGCCCGTTGTGGCGATGCTGAACAGTATGGCGGCAATGAAAGAGAACATTTCGATTTGACTGGCTCTGACTTTATCTCGAACTACCTTCCTGGTGGCCTGACGTCGCCCGACCGTTTATATTCAATCCAGGATTTTCTAAATAATACGGGGTTTATATGAGATCGAGGCGCGTGCTTTATATTCACTTCATGAAAGTCGATGCCCCCCAAAAATGCCTCATCCGCTTCTAGGAAGTAGAATTTCCGTCAGTGCACTTTTCCATGTCGCTCAAATGCGTAGGTTAAAATTTAACGATTTCACCGAAGGACGGTTTCCAGACGAAACCGGAAAAAAACGACAAAAAAACTTCCTTTCAATTAAATACGGGATGTTTTCGTATCTTCGATTTTATAACATCCTGTCTTTTTTTGCGAGGAGTCGACCTTTTTGCCGGCTATGGCTCAACATCGTTCGTGGGTTCCACCTACGTTAATCTAGCTGTTGTTAGTACGGTTGAATTAATGAAGCCGGAAAAAACTTTCCGTGAGTACTATTGAGGCAGTGTTAAAGAACATATATGAAACAGAGGCAACCGGGAAAGATGTAATTTTTGAGACACCTATATGCAAGGTGTCTAAAAAAAAATACAGTGTTTTTTGTTTTTTTTTTACCGCAAAAATAAACTAGGCATCGCCGAACGCTCATTATCCGTCCAAAGATAGCGCTCGAGGTCACAACCAGATGCCAAAGTTTCAGCCCGATCAGATACCTTATTCAAAAGTTATAAGTGGTTTTCTGAAAATTTCAATGGGAAAATGGAGCCCATTTTTTTCCGTTTTCGGTTTCTGGTACCATAGAGCTCCATGTATTCGAAAACTACGTCGGCCGCCATTTTCCCACTGAAATTTTCAGAAAATCACTTATAACTTTTGATTAAGTTATCGGATCGGGCTGAAACTTTGGCATCTGGTTGTGACCTCGAGCGCTACCTTTGGGCGGAGAATAAGCGTTCGGCGATGCCTAGTTTATTTTTGCGGTAAAAAAACAACCCTGCAAATTTTGTTTGTGACACCCTGTACTATAACACACACACACAAAAAAAAAAGCTTGCGCGTTTATTTTTCTGCAAAACACTCGGAGAGCCGACCACCACAACGTACGGAGGCAGCTCGGCGAATGACGATGCCGAAACATATATGTTTTGACCAAAAAACGCAGTCTGGTCTGTGACATTAAGCAATGCAAGCGTGAAGTTTTGCATCGTTTTATAATAATTGGGGTTATGAGGATATTTGTACAGCGTGTAGTTGGTAGCCATTTCAATGTTGCGACGAGTCACTCGCTGCAGATGATCAATTTAGCCAGTGCAGTACAACCGCTAGCCTGGGGTCTCCAACGTGTGCCATGCAGGGGGGCGCTTGTACCCCCAGTTTTCAGAGTGGGGGACAAGACATGTGTCTTGTTCCCCCCTCCCCCCCCCCCCTCCCCCCCCCCCCTTCTGAAAAAAACAGCCGCCACTGGGCAGGGCAAACACTGGCCGGCGGCGCCCACGGAATATCATGGACACAGCCCCCCCGACCCGCGGGGGCACATTTTTAACTCGCAGGCGATACAAACTCTAGCAACGGTGCTCATGCCGGTTTGGCTGGTTCGTGGAGATAGGCGCTCCCGCCGACAACATAGGCAGTGGTTACAATGCGAGTTTCCGAAGCGGAAGCATAACTTTGTGGTAAGATGTCTGCCTCATACGTATCACACCCGGGTTCTACCCATGGTGTGGGCTTACTTCTTTTATGTTTTTTCCTCGAGCATTTTGTTTTGTCGAGGCATTTAGCGATATTTATGACATTTCTTTTTTACAATTAACACCAAAAAAAAAAAACGAAAAAAACGAACCTTGTTGACGAAACATCGCTGAACTAAATCGTATGGCACTCTATTTACGGAGGTGCATGGGAGACAGCGGGGCTTGGGGTGCCGGCTGGACGCCGCAAAGCGGCGTGTATGGGGGAGGGGGGGAGGTGAGTGGGTTAATCGTTTTGTAATTAGCAGCCGTACACTGTCGCCGCGAAGCGGCGAGAACGCAGTCGCGGGGGTGGGTTAACGCGCTTCGAGTGATGCACGCGCCATCCGAATCCGAAATTTAAGTTCCCGCGCGTTGCCAAACAGCCAATCCGGCGTGAGTGTCGTTGCTAGGGGGTCTATCGCCTGCTCCGTAAAAGGAGCCACTGACCAAAGCGCCCGGTGCGCATACACAATTGGCCCTCTCGTCCCCCCCCCCCCCCCCCCCCTCTTTTACAACCCCTGCACACACACACGCCGTAAACGTTAGTGATGTATCGAATCTGCCGAACTTCAGATTCGGCAAAGTTCCACACATGCCGAAATTTTGAAAGAAAGTTCGGAAAAGATTCGGCAAAAATTTGGCAAAAGTCTCCGCACGCGCACGATCGCGACGGGGGGCCATGAATCCAAAATGAACGCCGCGCAGTCGCGCGGTTACCGTCCCACAGTTTAGTACAACCAGCGGTTACGGCGAGGTGTGGAGTAGGCGACACGGTAACTTTGCGTTTGTGAGCTTTTCCGAGTGTGGTTCTCTTCAATATTTTCTGCCTCAAAAATAGAAGATCGACCAGTAATTTACGCAGTCCACTGCGCAAGTGACAAATGATGCGGTGCATTCTGGATAGTGTGATTTTGATTTAACCTTTCCATTGATGCAACGAGGTAGTTGTAACATTGACTGACAACTGACAATTACGATCAGTGTGCGCAGCCCACTGCCGTCAAACGGGGCAGAGTCACGAGAGCCTGCCAGAATGTATGGGATGATGCTGGCATCCTCGTCATAATGTGTCACCTCATGACGATACATATACGTCACATTATGATGATTCATATTTTCTCCCTTCTTTTCTTTCCTTTTTACGTACTTTCTGTAGTGTGTGTATTCTGTACATTTATTTCTCTGTTTTGTTTTTTTCATATGTGGTGGAGGGCTGCCAGCACACATGTACAAGCTACTAAAAAAAAGTAATTAAGTTAAAGGGCAACTCCGCTCAATTCCGAAGATTTCGGAATAATGAGCGATTTCGAATTAAAAAGCCCTAGTAAAAGACACTACGTCGTTTTCTTCGCGAAAAATGGGATATATATTTTTAAATCTAATTTTAAACACGAGCGGAAATGGAAACCGAAACTTCGGCTCCATCCGGCAACATTGGCCTCGGGCCGCCAAGTACATGGCCATCACGTGGTACGAGATGTCACGTGATCCTCGGCCCAACGACGGGCGGGATGGGGGCGGGCGTGCCATAGAGTAATATACTAAACGTAAAGAGAGGACACAAGAGCCGATTCGCGGCCCAGATAGTGCGTTTCATACCCTCCGCTACGTGGCGCTTTTCTGCAATTTGGTTAAAATTAATTAAAACTCTTTCTGTGAAAAGTATTTATTTTTTTAAATGGCAATGCTTTAAAATTGTTTAAAGTACTTAAAACCGCCAAATAGTTTAAAGTCAAATACGTCACAAAAACCACGTGATGAATGGCGCCTGCCATGGCCTGCCTGCCTGCACGCCGTCGCCTCTGCTTCATTTTGCATGGCCTCTGCTCGTCCCTGCGTCGTTCGTCTGTCTCGTCTTTGCCGGCCATCTGTGCTTTCTGCTGCATCATGTTCGGTCGACTTTGCATCAATCAAGGTGACGCATGACCGCCCGCGTGCTCGCATGCTCGGCGTGAATTCGTGGAGCCGATTGGTTTGAGCTTCTCGCGTTGTGGTTTCTGCCGGGCTGTCTGGCTGCACTTGAACGTGCGTGCAAGTTGATTTTCGATGAGATTGTTTTAAAAAAAGAATTTAACTTATGACCCTGCACACGACATTGTCAATGGGTTTACAGATGACGGTGTTGAACGAACCTGTAACATTGCAGATAGAGCCTTGGTTGTTATGCTGTCTGAAATTTTCAGAAGGTGCATTTAGCCCCTTGCAGACACTGTTGTGCACACTCCAACGTCTTCTGTTTAACGCAGTCTCCTTATTTCTCGTATTCGGGAGCTTAAAGGGGCGGTGCAACGATATTCAATTTCAATTTTTTTTTTCACTTTACAAGAGCTTAATGGCACTAGTGGGACTCAAGGATACTCACACGCAACACCACTGACCATGAAATTCCTTTTTCGCGCTGTAATTTCGAGGACAAAACCGAGTGTTTTTATTCAACCCCTCCTTCGAAAAACCCGATGACGTAGCTGGGCGGTAGCAGCACCGCCCAGTGACGATATTTGAATACGGCTCATAGATTGTACCCGAGCATGGCGTGGACACTCGATTTGGGCTCGTGATAATCGACAGCTCGAGAAACATTCGGGTAGTGTCCTGTGTCCAATCGCTGCAATGACGACAACAGCCGAACCATAACAATGTCTGGAACTCAGCGTGTGTCCTGTGCCTTGCCAACCCCAGCGCATGGCTATGATCAACACTGGCGGCTTATAATCGGCTCCAGATCACGGGGCTGCTTGTTCTGGCTGCGAGTTGAAGGGCTGAACTCTGCTTGTTTCTCTTTATTTTTTCTGTGAGTTTATTTGCGTGTGGTGAAAACGAACGGGTATTTCACAGATCATTAACGTCAGGGATTCGTTCTAAGCGGTATTTGTGCAAAATACAAATATCAGTGCATCGCCCCTTTAAGACTGTTGGCTTCACAGTAATGGGTGTGGTCTGTGGTTAGGGGGCTTCAAACGTAAGCTTGGTGTGTGTGGTGATATGCCATTTTTTGAAGTTGACAACGAACACGTTTACTTTGTCTTTGATGTTCCGCACCTTCCCAAAACAACCAAGAGCAATCTCCAGGCCCACAAACTTTGCATTGGAAATGAGGTCATTGAGTGGTCTTCTATTGTTGAACTTTATTTTTCTATCCATGAGATGAGCTTGCAATTGGCTCCGAAACTTACTGAGGGACACATTTTTTTCAAGAACCTTTCTGTAACATGAAAGAAAATTGTGCCCCACAGGTACTGAGTGCCTCACTCTTTCTTGCAATCATATCCCTTGTTTATGCCAA